TCACTGCCACCCATTGCTTTGCTTCTCTGCTCCCTTTGTCTTCCTGGAGCTGGTAAATGAAACCTACAGGAGAGGAAATGATTCACACAAGCAGCTGGAAAGGCAAGACCGTAGGAAATTTCCTAAACTAATACAATTTAGTGCAGTAACTACAGTCACGTCTGGTATTTTGAAGCCATTCCAGTGTTGCTAGGTCCTTACACTACCATTGGCTTCGCTGTTAATGGCATCGCAAAGTTACAGCACTGAACCCCACAAGTCAGATGAAGATCATATGGCTGCAGGATCCAGGAAACAAACACTGGATAGTTCAAGGGTTTGGTGATGAGCTTAAGACCTTCTGACCTCTTGGTTACCTGGGTAGGGCACTTCAAAGGGGAATTAGTGCAGAGGAGCCAGCGTGACACAAATTCCAGTTTGTTTGCTTGACATCCTCACACAGCCCATAGCAAACCATAGAAAACCAGAGACCTCAGGCAATGAACAGACTATTAAGTGATGGAGGGAATGACTCAGAAAGCAAGATCCTGTCAGTAAAAGGAAAAAGAACCACATTTCTCCAATATGTATAGTTTTATATTCCACACACGCTTAAGAGGCACATGAGGGTCAGAATTTGGGTTCATATCATCTTTCTCTGGCAAAGAAAGAATTAACAGACAATGGTCAGGAAAACTCCAGATAGACGTTCTGAAAGCACCCTGACAGACTGCATAAATCAGGATACTGATTTATAGATCACCTTTTAATATTAAGAACAGGCTTCTATCACATAGAGACACACACACTTAGAAGTATTAAAACCTCACCTCAGAGGTTGGAGATTGTTACATTACAATGCAGTTGTGCACATACAGGGATGGGGAGGGGCAATTCTATCCTACCAAATGTGTAGCTGTAGGACCAGGCACAGTGCAGGCAGCTATGGTGAAAAGAACAGGTTTGCCTATAATAGGTCCACCCAGACATCTTCATCTTGAACGCCAGCCATACAAGTGACCTATTAGGAGACTGCTAGCCTCAAGGAATAGTTGACAACATATTTCAAGCACCACCTAAACATCTGAAATCATCAACATTTCAGGTTTTTCAGGGGGGAAAAGACAAGCTATAGTACAGGAAAGCTGATGTCAGTTTAAATATCTTTCCCACATCAAAGCAGCACACAAAGCATGTTTAATTGTTCCACTGAATCCATGGCAAAGTGACTTGCCCTCTGACATGGAGTTAACCATGCACAGCTGGAACCCAGGTCTTGCTCTCCTGGGCTGTGCTCCAAGACACATACGTGGCAACAAGAAACGGATGAAGCCACCTGGCCTTCCATGTTGAAACCTCTGCATCTAGCAATCAAAAGTTGCACTTACAGATTTCAGCTGACTGATACTACTTCACTCTCCACATCCATCCTCAACAAACATCACTGCTGCAGCAAGCACTAGGAATTACTGTGTGACCAAAATAAGTACTGATTTGTAATTACCAGTATAGTCTGGATAAGAACACCTACTTGGACAGTCCTGTTATTTGTAACATTCTGGTTCTACTGTTCATTCACAGGAAGGCATTTTTAGGCTGAGGTGTGTTTTGTAGGTCTGTCTATCACAGTTAGACTTTGCTTCTACCCAAGCTGACTTTTGTGATGCTGCTGTAAAGCTAGCAGTAAGAGTTATCATCCTACGTTACCTCCTTTGTGTTTGGGGGTTTTCTTTCAGCTACCTCCACCTCACATCCAAAGAGGTCTCCAGTCTAAGCACTGCATCTAGTCTCAGAAGTTTAACTCCCACACTTGAGTTCACAAAGAGTGATGCATGACTAATTTGAAACGACAGGAAAATAGGATGAGAAGTTGGGAGAACACCAATTCCAAAGACAACTAACATAGATGCAGGCATTCTTTGAGAACCAAGGTACTTCCAGCATGGGAAGTAGCTTAACACAGTCAGAAAAGCTTCTCATGTCCAAGTCTGGAAGACAGTGGTTTCCTCCTGGCATTCTTATGTTTTGGGCAAGACCCACCTTCCCATTCCCACTGCCTTAACACAGTAGCAAGCTAGAAATGCAGGCACTGAATGTGAATTTCAAGCAAATTAGTGAGGCTGCTACAATCGATACAATACCAACGAATACTGCTGCTTGAATTTCAGTCACTATTACTTGCACATCCCCTACAGAAGTTCAAAGCAATTCAAGCACATGCAAAGATAGACTGCAAGTGTTTGGTCAAATAACCAAGGTCTGTCAGCTGAGGCCAACCAGAAGCTAGAATTTTCATTTTTAAAAAAGAAGCAAAGCAAACAACATTCCACCTGAACAAGTATTCCACAATTTCATTTTGAAGGATGCAACTATTTTTTTTTTCCTCCAAATTTCTCTCCACTTCTGCCAAGATTTCTACATTGCCCAGGTCCTTAGTTTTCCAGCACAAAAAATATTCAGCAGTCCTCAGAGCCTCAGAAGCCTGTCTCTGAGTCAGCCTGCAACCTGGATACCAAGGATTATATCAGCTATTGACTTTTCTAGGTGGAAGACAAAAGATTTCAGCAACTTTCCCCCCCCCCCCCCACCTTGGAGAAATACATTTATAACAGCTAATTAAAAAAAAAAAAAAAAAAAAAAACAAAACAGATACAAGACAGCTCAATCATGTTTTCACTTGCTGATCAAGGCCAGAAAAAGTCAACTCCAGGAACTTGGTGTGTCTTGTATCAAGGTAACACGTCAGCTGTAGAGCACTACATCAGTATGTGCTATAACATACCAAAACCTGGAGCTGCAGCATTAACTTTCAAGGCTCTGGCCTGCTTATACTTGGCTGATGGTACCCAGGAAAAGTGCCAGAAGTCACTGGACAAAGCACTCACTGGGAAGGTTGCAGAAGAGAAAGTGAGAATAGCCATGTACTCTCATTAATAGTAATCACCAACCCACCACCTTGTGTCCTCCACAGCCTCTCCAGGGCAGAGGCCAGCAAGCTCCACTGCGGCAGAGCTGCTATTGCCTCACGTAATCCAGATGCTACTAAGATCCCCTGTTTAGATGGCAAAATGGACACTGGACAAAATAAACAACAGTTTGTGCCAGTCTGAATCAGTCCCCTGGAAAAAGGCTTTGCACCCACAGAGAGCAATGTCAGACTTTAGAGCAAAAGGCCTCATTCTTATCCAGCACCATATTAAGGCCAGAAAAGCACAGCTATCCTAACCTGAAGCTGCACCCTGCAGGAGGCTCCCCCCAAAGGTCCAACATTGTGGCTGGGTAAAGTTTTCCCACACAGATTTTCCCATCAGAAAGTGAAGCTGTTAGACATTTGCCAACAACAAAACTCCACCACTCAAGGGGAAATTAGAACATAGAAAGATTGCTTCAATGTGCAATATTTGACTAAGCACTTGAATTTTTATTTCAAAACATCCACTGGTGATTTTTTACCTCCCTTCAATTTTTTATTTTCCCCTCTGCTTTAAACTAGAATGGGAGATTCTCACATGGCAAAGTTCCATTGGACAAAAAAAATAATTAAGAAAGAAAAATCTACCAGCTTTCCCAACATCATTGTTTAAATCAGCTTTAGATGGTTTTATACAACACTTTATAGACTTGGAGAGGGACACGTTCCCCTGACAAAGCATCAACTATCCAAACAACAGAGGCATGGGAAAATTGTGCAAGAGTGTGAATTGGGGAAGGTCTTTGGTAAGCAGAGATACAGTCTGCACTCATGTAAGCGTGGTAGCTCTGAACAAAGATCTGCAGGCTAATAGATATGTAAGACAAATGACATGTGGTTCTCATTGCAGCTCATGCTTTGGGAAGGGGGTACCTTGGAACAGAGCCAGCTGGGATAGGTTTATCCCATTACTCTCCTATAATTTTCTGCCGTTTCAAACCCTTTGACAGTTACTGTAGTTTAACATCACACCCCCTACAGACTGAGGCCTGTTTGACAGGCCAGCAAACAAAACCACCCCCACTTGGAGATGAAATATGCACCATATGTGAGAACCGTGCAAGGCACAGGGCTAGCGCCCACTCTTGTACTTCTGTGACACACCGATGAAAGTCTGCTGTGTAGATGTCTTATCCCAATTCCTAGACCAAATAAGTGGTGCTAACATAACCCTCCTCCACAGCAGTGTAACTCATGCATACAAGGTATTAGCAAGGGAGGAGGAAAAGAGGTAGAGACAGGATGGACGAGCCCTGAATATTAAATTCCCAAGTCCCCATTTAAGGGAATCACAGGAAAAAAAAAAAAATACTGAAATTCAAGAACAACTGGAATCAGGTTAAGCCACTCTCTTGCTTTATACAGTGCAGTTCATTCATCTGAACAGCTGTTTCACCTCTAGAGAAATACCCAGAGAAAACAGAGGGGAGGGGGAGAAGCCTAAATTGTTTGCTCTACTGAAGCAGCAAGATACAGTAAATCAAAACTGATTTACATTCAGTTTGTAAGAAATTAGTTGGGGGGGGGGGGGGGGGGAAGAGGGGAAAAGTGGGAAGTTTGGTTTGAAACAGCTTTTTTGAAAGCTGCAGCTCTTGAATAGAGATCTGTAATTAAGGTCTTTCCTTTGTTGAGCTGAACAAGTTTTTCCTCGCAGCCCAGGGCTATAACAGTTCCCTCTGTCGGCATCCCCCGTGTCCCGGTTCAGGAGGTTTTATGGCTCCGGCTGCGGGGGGACACGCTGCCCGCGGCCCCGGCCGAGCCACCTTCCCTTCCCTTCCCCTCCCCGACGGGCTGCGGGAGGCAGGAAAGGGAGATCGCGGGTTTCAGCTGCCAAAGCTCAGCTCTTGGATCCCCCCAGTCGCTCCCAGCCCCAGGGAGGGACCCTGCTGCCGGCAGGTAGGGAGCCTCCCCCACCCCGTCTAGGAGGGGGGCAGCCCAGCCCCGCAAGCCCCTCGCAGCCTCGGCGGGGATTGCGGTGCCCGTTGCTCCCCCGGGAGGCACCGGCGGGGCTCAGCCTCCTCGCCGGGGAGGCCGACCCGGTCTTACTCACCGGCGACTGGCGAAGCCGCTGCCCGGCGAGCCCGAGCTCTGCTCTGGGTAGTTGTGCTGCAGGGTTGATGCTGGGAATTGATAGAGGAAGCCAGTCCCTAGCGCCCATCCATGCAGGCAACAGCACCAGGACAAGAAGAGAGCGATCTGCATTTTTGCAAGAAGGGGGTTTTCCTCCCGCCACCCGCCCCCCCCCCCCTTTTTTTTTTTTTTTTTTTTTTTTCCAATTACACAGCCCGGCAGGCTCGGGGCCCCACCGTGCCTCCCCCGGCCGGGGTCACGGCGGGATGCCCCGGCGCGGCGGTGCCCCCGGGACCGGGGACCACGGGGCACAGGGAGCGCTGCTCCGGCTCCCGAGGGGAAGCCCCGTCCCTCGGCCGGCCGAGCCCCGGCGGCTGCTGCCCGCGCAGGGGGTCCGGGGCCAGCGCGGCTCTCTGCGCCCAGGGCGCACACTCAGCCCCGGATGCCTTTTCAAATTTGGCGAGGTTGGTCCGACTCCGTCAAAGGGGGCGTGGGGTTTCGGCGTTAACCCTTGCCAGGCCTCGCGGCAGCCCCCGCTGCGAAGGGGCTCCTCGTTGGATGAAAGGCGACCCGGCACCCGGTCCGCTCGTGGGCACAAAACACGCCGGGGTTGCGCGCTCCCACCTGGGCAGAGCTGGCAGCATGACGGCGGGATGCCGCGGCTCGGCTCCGGGCACAGGGAGGGAGCGCACCCGGCGAGCCCGAGCCCAAAACGACACGGAGAACACGGGCCTCTGCCTCCGTGATGAGCCGGGAGCCAGGTCGAGGGGAACCCACTGCCCAAACACCCCAAGGCCGGTGCTTGCTGCCACGCTCCTGCTGCAGAAATGACACAGGTAAAGTAGGAAATAAAGCAGCTTTAAGGTGCTCCACTCACAAGGTAACCGGTGAAAAAGTAATCTCTGCTTCAGCATGTGCACCCCGCTCGTTTTGGCATCACACGTAAGCACTCTCCTTGCCACGACCTTGTGTAGACCCTGGCATGCAGGATGGCCCTGAGCTTGGAGAATCGCACAGTCAGCCCCAGGCAGAAGGAATATTTTTCACAGATGTGGGAGGATGTGGGTGTTTTGCAAAGGCGGTACCCCCAAGAAGGAAGCAGGGCTCCCTCCCTGTACAGCAGCTGAGCTTGTGTTTAAAGTCCTTGCGCATCCCCCCTTTAGTTACAGTATCACAGATCCCATTTTCTGGCCTTTGTGTCCCTTTCCCAGCTCTGGAGGAACCCAGCTCACTGACTGGACAAATGACTTATCTGAACCAGCCACCACAAGGAGAGATTTAATTTTTAAGATGACACAAATGTCTTTCTAAGATTTTTACCCTCAGATGCTGAAAGCTTCCAATACCGCCTCTGCACCTTCACTGTTGTGTGGCCTTCCAAAGACAGCCCTGGTTTACCACTGAAAGCAGGTCTCTTGCCGGGGTATTCTAGGGGCCCAGGGCTTCCCTGTGGGGCTCTGCAAAGGCAGAGACCTCTTCTCCTCAGGGGCAACACAGTCTCTGCAAGATGCTGCAGCTGGAAAATGATCCCTGCAAGATACTGGGGAAATTGCTAGGTTCATCCCCCAGCCGTGGGTGAGCACCTACCCCTTCCCCCACAGTGCCCACCTCCAGAGCCTGCACACAGAGATAAATAGCCCCTGGACGGAGCCTGCAACCAGACAAGTTTAGACTGTAAATGAGGCAGCAGGTTTTTAAACAGCCGCTCTCATTAATCACTGGAGCAAGTCACACAAGGAGGCAGAGGTGCAGTTTACACTGCAGCTCAGTCCGGCCTCCCTGGGGTTGCCCCACAGCTGCCCCTAGGGTGTCCCAGACCCAGAGCTGGAACCAGTAATGGATTAGCACTCTCCAAGCAAAAAGGGAGCACAAAAGGTCTGGTCCAGCAGCTTTGGGCCACCAAGCCAGCTCAGAAACAGCCCCTACTACAAAAAGCCCTCAGTGCCTGGAGCTGGGACAAAACAGGGCCCTCTGTCCCCAGCCCTGGCTCAGATCAGCCTGAGCACCCTTCCCTTCAGTCTCCCCTCACCCTCAGCAAGGGGAACATCTTCCCTTCCACCCCCAAGAAAACACAAAGCTCCCAGCAACTCACCATAGGATACTGAGCCACTCAGCCATTTTGTTCAGGCAGTCCTCAGGAAACCTCTACTCAGCCTGACAGGGTAACAAAAAAAGAAGCTTACTCCCTGGTCTCCCCTCTCAGTAGGGCTACAAACTGCCCCAAATTCACCCTTCTCCTAGGAAAGTAGTCAGAAACTGCAGCACATACAAAACTGAGGCTCCCCCGCCCTTTAATCTGGGTGATCATCCTCAGGTGTGTATGTGCAGCCAAACTGGATGCAGCTTGACCCCCACCCCTGGCAGTTTATTACAACTTCAGGCTGTGTGCAGGTGGCCTGGTTCAGCCTTTTGTCCTAAACATACTAAGTTCCCCCTCCTGACAGGCTGGGATAGATCATTTGTCTGTATTTAACAACACTGAACAGCACCAGTGGCTTCCTGACCCATTCCCCTGGCTTGTATTAGCCCCTTCGGAAGCTCTTTGTAGTATTCAAGTCTTAACTGTCCAAGAGCGTTTTATTTTTGATTGCATGCAAAATTTGCTGCTTCAGCCTTCACTGACTTTGCAAGACCCTAGGAGATATTAAACACAGGTGATTAGACAAGACATGATTCTGGCAAATTACTCAAGACATCTGTAGGAAGCTAATGTTCTTCCTATTTCATGAACTGAGAGATGGGAGACCAGAGGTCAAATGACTTTGCTCAAGACTGCAAAGACCTAAAGGCAGATCCAGAAATAGAGCTCAGATCTCCAGGCTCCCATTACTTCTGCTCTGTCCCTATTGCACACTTGCTTCTAGTCTGTACGGCTGATTTAAAATGAAAATGAAGAATTAACTTCCAAGCTGGTTTTGGAAAGAGAGAAGAAAGGGTGATATTGTCTACCGTAAGGGGAGAATTAAAGATGACATTTCATTTTAGTTGTTTGGATATGCGTAATATAATCAAACACAATAGCAGTAACAAATGAATATTTTTTCTCCCCACGGTGCTTACGAGTGCAACATATTCTAACAATTTCTCAAAACTACGTTGATAAATTGGAAACACAGTGATGGAGGTAAAAAAGACAGCCAACAAAAACATAATCCATTCAATTTATCAGAGGGACTAGCTTTGAGAAGAGAACCCTTGAAATCTGAACAGTCCTGTTCTTATAAACTAGACATAATATATTTCAAAATATAAAGCTACACTCTTTATGCCTGTGCATAAGCATATTAATTAAAGATTTGCCCTGGCAATCAGGGATAATAACTTATTTGGATGTATTTCACCAGTTCAAGATGTGAGAGGCAAGATGCATACTGGAAAGCCACAATGCATGGAATCATAGGGGGGAAGTAATAAAGAGACAGGGGCCAGGTTTTCAATTTAACAACCCTATTGACTTTACCAGCATGGAAAAGCAGTCCCTGGAGGGTCCTCCTCCCACACCCTGCTCACGTTCCATGCAAGTGACAGCCGTCGTGTCGGAAGACTAATCCACTGGACACGTGTGGGTACATGGGGTTTCACACTGTCCAGAGTGTTTTTCAGCTTTGTAGTCCATTGGGGATACCTGAGACATAAGACATCAGAAACTGTTCTGTGAAAACGTCTATTATTTCTTTAAACATATACGCCACATGCAGGCCAGCCAATAAACGAAGTGGGGGGAAATACAGACAATAAAAGGAACATTCGAAGTTTAGTCTGGTTCTTGTTTAGTTGCAAAGGAAAAAACTGGAATGATACAGCAAAAGAGGGATTTGTTTTCTACAATGTTTTCCATTTGAAAGGTGGCTCAAAAAGGTAGAAAAGCACTGTCCTACCTGTAAGCGGAGTCCAGGTCCAGAATTGCAATGCCATCTCAGCTGTTCAGCATCACTTACAGTGTTACAAAACCCAGTAGTTAGCTGAAAAAAAAGTCACAATGTTGTTAGAATCATGGCAAACAAATTTTGAAAGGCTCGTCCCTTGGATTTTGTCAGTGCACTTTTCATGTGGATACAAAAAAGAGAACAAAGGGAAAGCAGCTTCATTCTAGATAATAAAACATTGTGGAACTTTAGAATTATGAAGTGTCCTTTTGAAGTTAGAATGAAGCCATTGATACAACCATCTAAAACCAAAAATAATTTGGATAAACTCTAGAAAACACCTAGATTGTCTCATTGTGATATAACAAAGCAGTCAAGGAACCTTGGAAAATCAGGAGGGAAGGATAAGGGTTTAATAACAGTAAGAGTTCAAGACCTCTATTATAAATTAAATTATAAGACTACTAAGGTTATTGTAACACATCTATTATTAAGGAGTCAAACTAAACCTGAGCCAAACTGAAAATTTTAGGGGACTGTGGTGTGGGTTTTTTTTTAAGCTAGGAGGTAGCTATTGTGTGAAAATTTCTTGAATTTGACCTGGAATAAATCAATCACAGTTTAACAAAAAATGGAATAGAAGTGAAAAAACTTACACAAGCAGTTTAGCATACAGTAAACATGACAAACAGTGACATCGTATGAAGCACAAAACATGATCCAGAAGTCATGACTCTGGCAAAATTCATTGACCTTAGATGAGAACTTTGTCTGAGTGAAGCACTTGTGTGGGAATTATAAAGTAATATACTGGATAAAATAACTCAGATTGAAACATAATTCAGCAGCTGGAAAATCTGATGACTCAAGAGATCAGCAAGACAATGGCTACATCCGGTGGAATTATATATACTCAGAGCATTATTGTGTCCTGGGAAAAATAATTTATGCCACCTTTGATGTTAGACAAAAATTCTCTGAACTGGCCATGCGCTGAAGCACTGATCTGCACAAGCACAGGGAGTTTGTGAGCACACCCTTGATCCATCAGACTCACCAAGAATGCAGTAAAGCAGGGATTCACACAGGTGTGATAAAGCCAAGGCACAAATAGCACCAGGTCTGTTGCATGGGAACCTGCTAGAGTAGAAACACATTCAGAAGTAGCCAGGAAGGACAGCAAGAGTTATCTAATCCCTCTTCCTTCTCCCTGCTTGAAGGCAGGATCCATTATACACAGACTATTGTTGGCACAAATTTTTCTGCCTTGTTTTGAAAGAACTCAGGACAGAAACTCCACGCGCTCACCTGAAAACATATTCCAATGCTTTGCACTCTCTACTGGTAGTTTTTCTTAACATCCAACCTCAGTCTGTTTTGTTGCAATTTAAGGTCTTAATGTCTTACTTTCTCCATTATGGATGTCGTCTCTCTTTGAACAGACTTTTAATTCCTCAAAGTACTTTTTAAAATGTTTTAACACCTCTCCTTGCCTTCTAGAAGCAAAACAATGCCAACTTCTTCAGACTTGTCCTGTAGGTCATATGTTACATAGTTCTGATCCTTTCTG